ATAATAATAATAATAATACACTTTTTTTTAAGCTTCAACACTCTTGACGAGGAGCGCGGAACTAAAAATAGGACCACAACACAAGTTGCGGAACACGATTGTGACACAGAACCCAGCTAACATTATCACTGCGGGGTAGGTAGGGAGCTAACACATTCATCAACCCAAGATAGAAAATGGAAAAAAAAAAAACCCAAAAAACCAACAGACCTGAAATTCCACCTTTAAAAAAACGAGTGATGAAAATGAGCGGGGAAAAAAATCAAGTGTACTGAGGATTTTTGCTTTTGTTCTTCTTCAACAAAAATAAAAAACAGCGAGATTTCGTCAAGAAATATAAAACAAAAAAATTCGCGTATAAATTGCTTTCCCCATTACAAGTTTACAATTCACCACCTCGCTTTAGTTTCTAGAACGACAGACATAGATACTGACCCTTTGACCTTATTTGCCCTAGATTCTCATATATATATATATTTATTATGTGGGCAACTGTACATTCCTGTATATGTTGTACTAATGCTGTGAACCGAAAAAAAAAAAAAAAACAACAGAAAAACAAACCCAAAACAAAACACCTTCATTCACTAGCATCATTCATAAGTCGGGACCACCAGAGAGAGCGGTTTCCACTTTGTACAGTTGTGCAGGTGACAATGCAGATTTTACACATATTATATTTCTGAGATAGGACATCAATGAACGTGAACGCCACGTGCAATTGCATAAACGGGTGGGAGAAGGAACACAAAACCATGACAGTAGGTAGGACAGTAGACATCATCATTCATCATCATCATCATCATCCCGATCAGCCAGAACTTTAAAAAAAACATTTTGAGACAAATCGGCAAACATCACGCAATATCAATTCTCATCACAGTCAAGAAATAGTTCGCACATTCCATCGCAACACTCTCAACATCTCGTACACGCGGGGAGGATGTTCTGGAGAAGAAGAAGAAGAGGTAGCTTCCTATCATAGGTGATATTATTATTATCGTGACAGACTCTGTAAACTAATGCCCACTAGTACTTTATCTGTCTGTAATACTACAAATACACCGCCCCCCCAAAAAAATTGTTAAAGCAAAAAACTTTTTTTCGGCAAATGCGAAAGGCATTCAAATCAAAACATACTGCTGCCTAGGTGATAGTTGAGGGGGTCTGCCCTAGAGGTTGGGGGGGTGGAGAATATAGGGAAGAATGTGTTTTACTTGCGCAACTTCACGAAATGCGGAAAGGATTTTTAAAAAAAACTTTTATAAGTTTTTCTGCTCATTTTTTAGTACCCTCTTGACAGCAATTCCCAAAAATAACACCTACCTACAATATGAGCCGCTGAGCCTACTTTCCTTTCCACTCATCATTTAGTCTGTTTCACTTTCGTTTTCATTTTCCTATCGACAAAGAAAGAAATTAAATTTGACAATAGCTTCAATCCCAAGATTATTACAAAGAGAAATCTTTCCGCTGCTATCAATGAGAGACATTCAGTCCTTCAACGTCCTTCGACATTCAACGTCCCTCAACGCATTCACAGCCAGTGAGAGTTGTATATTTCCACTAATTCCACTCATTCGTTGTCATTGACCAAAACACCCAGCCCTCCCACACATCACAAGTTATCGCTACCACTCCAGACACACACACACACACACACACACACACAGTACAACTTGAACATCTCACTCACACATTTGGCAGCTGATAAAATAAAACAAAGGCGTGAACAACCAAACGATGAACACCCCTCTTGCCTCTTCTAGCACGACGGCAGTCACTGAGGGGGTGGTGGGGTGGTGGTGGGGTGTAGTCCATCCATCAGATGCTTGAACAAAACAAAAAGGTGGTTGTCTTCCCCCCCGAACAAAGAATTATCACAAAATGACTGTCTGTGCTGGTGGTCTGTGCCTCCCAAGTCAGCAGCAGCAGCTCTCACTATACAAGAGTTCTTTCTGTCCCGCCTCGTATAAACAAAACATTTTTTTGTTTTAGTCTCCCATCTTAGCGGTTTAGTCTCTCATCTTAGCGGTTTAGTGTCCCATCTTAGCAGTAGGGTGTCCCATCTTCAGCCCACATGACTGACGGATGAAGTCACCTCTAGGCTCGGCAGCTGTTAACTGTTCCATCTGTCTGGCCATGCCTCAGTCGCCCCTCACAAGCTGACCCCCTTCCTTCTTCGGGTACGTTACAGACAAATACTCCCACAGTATTGCCCAGAGGGGAGTACTGTGGATGCACCGTACAGCCGAGGAAAAGCCTAGAGGGAATACTGCGGGAGCATCGAGGGACACAGAGTCGATGAAGGTTTCTATTATGACAGCTTGAACCACGTTATGTTATTTTTCAGACAAAAAAGATTTTAAAAACCTTGTCCTATTGTGCGAGAGAAAGTGTCGGTGGCGAGCATCAAGGCTCAGTGAGAGTCTACCATGTGCACCTGCACGTTGGCTAAAATATTATGGGGCCCGCTGCGTTCGGGTATAACCGTCGTGGGGCCAATCCCACCTCCCCCGCCTCCGAAATCTGTTGCCGTGGGCAACACAGTCTGTTCTGGGATGGCGGAGTAAATGTGAGTGGAGAGCCTCGTCTGTGGAGGGGTGGGGCTGCGACTCCGCCGCGACGAGGACGCGGGGGGAGGGGGGAGGGCGGGCGTCTTGCCCAGCGACAGGGAGGTGGGTGGCCGGAAGCGGTCCTTGCCAATACTGAAGGGGTCTAGGCAGGGGATGGAGGCGTGCTCGCTGTCCTCGTGGGGGGTCATGGTGCTGTAGCCGTGGTCGCTGTCGCCGCCGGCCGGCCGGCGGTACGAGGTGTTCACGCGGTACGGTGACACGCTGGCCGGGTTCTCCAGGGACGCCAGGACAAAGTTGGTGTGACCTGGGAAAGAAAGGTTTGTTTTAGTAAGATTTGTTTGGTTTCTTTTAGTAAAGTTTGTTTTAGTAAAGTTTGTTTGTTTGTTTTAGTAAAGTTTGTTTTAGTAAAGTTTGTTTTAGTAAGGTTTGTTTGTTTGTTTTAGTCAAGTTTGTTTGTTTTAGTCAAGTTTGTTTGTTTGTTTTTGTAAGATTTGTTTGTTTTAGTAAGGTTTGTTTGTTGGTTTTAGTAAGGTTTGTCTGTTGGTTTTAGTAAGGTTTTAAAGCCTAGCTCATGAACTCAATCTTCATCCCCACCTTGACCTCCCAGTGCCAGACATGGACCCCAAAGGGGGGACATTAACCACGTTCTTATTCACAGTAGAATTGCAATTGTAAATGGGCTGATTCATTGATGTCATGCTCATAACTGTTCCTGAACTGCAACAGGGAACTGCTGCTTTTTCTTTCGAAATCCTTACTATCGTCATTTTTCCGCTACTTCTTTTAAAGTTTGTCACACTCATGTGAACCGCTATTTCCGGGGTGCCTTGACAGTCGAAGCAGACATTGTGCCTCTAATCAACGTTTTTCAGTAAAATACACACAGATATGTGTTCTTTTATGGGCATGAGAGGGGTTGAGCCATAAAACTTAAATTCAATTTTAAAATTCTCAAACCTGCGGAAGAAATGCCAGTTTCTTGACTTTCATTATTTTGACAAGCGCCTGCCTGCTGTTTTCACCTCGCTGCCTCATAAATGTCACGCCCCCCCCCCCCCCCCCACCCCACACACACACAAAAAAAAAAAGAGTTGTACTCACACTCTCCGGTGCTGATGTCCTCGGTAGCCTCCTGCTCCTCGTCGTTGTAGTAGTGTGAGATGCGGTTGGTGTTGTCGGGCAGCGTGCTGATGTAGTGGTGGCTGTGGCGGTGCACGTGGTGCCGGTAGCAGTAGACGCCCAGCGCCAGGAGCAGGAAGCAGCCCATGATGCCGCCCGCCACGGGCCCCACCGGCGTGCTCTTCATGCCCACGGGCTCCACGCTGTCTGCTGCTGCTTTGGGGTTTGGCACGGAGAGGTTGTGGGGTGGGGTGGGGTGGGAAACATTTATTAGAGTAAATAGGAGCACATTGACATTCTTCTCTAAACTTTTCTCCATTCACATCCTTTCCTGGTCTTTTTTTTTTTTAAGTAAGTGTTTTACTGCGCTCACAACTGTATAAGTTCAGATGAGTGCGCAGAACACCTTAAACATTTTCAGTCGGTAGGAAATTTTGAATTTTTCCCGGGTGGCAGCCGAAGCCTGCTCTTATCAATTTTAGATAACCAAGGGATCTTTAACGTGCGCAACTTGAACACGAGACCTCTGAGATTTTTCACCCTTGTCCAAGAAAGCTAAGTGTAGATCTTTCCTACCAGAACATCAGGGGTGTGGCTGAAAGACAGCAGTAAGATTAGGAGCCAAGGAGTAGCAGTAGAAAGGTTGCAGAAAGAGTCAGGAGCCCAGAGGAGGGGGCAAAGGAAGGAGTGGTCATTTAGGGTAGGGAATGTGTCAGACAGATAAAAACCACAGAGAGAAAAAGAAAAAAAAAGAAGTAGGACCTAATGGAAGCACCCTCCAACCTACCAGCGGAGACTAAATGGCAAACACTCAAACATCACATCAGACGTTTCCAAAACCACAAACACCACATTTAGACATTGTAAGTTACAAACATCACATAAGACATTTCTTGACCTTTTCAAAATTCTAACCATCTTTTCAGACATTCCTACAGTCACTATCATCTCATCAGACATTCCTACAGGTAGAAACATCTCATCAGACATTTCTTCAGTTAGAAACATCTCATCAGACATTTCTACATTTAGAAACATCTCATCAGACATTTCTTCAGTTAGAAACATCTCATCAGACATTTCTACAGTTAGAAACATCTCATCAGACATTTCTACAGTTAAAAACATCTCATCAGACATTCCTACAGTTAGAAACATCAAATCAAAACATTTTCAGGATCACAAAACTGCGCCATCCACTCACCACTGATCTCGTCCCCGTACGGCGAGTGCGCCCCCACCACTCCACCGAAGCAGACCCTCTGGGAGGAGCAGTAGGGAGCGTCCAGCGGGCTCTTCCCGTCCTTCTGCAGCTGGCACCACTGACAGTCCACCACACCCATACAGTCCCTGAAACAATCATAAACACCAACTTGTTTTAGTTTTAGTAAGAGTTTTAAGGCACTTGCAACACAATAAGGTCGTATAAATGCCGAAGATTAGAGGTGTTACAAGAGAGTAACAAACGTAGAAAAGAAGAAGGAGAGATAAAGACGATAGTTGTTTGATAGGAAAGAAGGAGCAAGCCACACACCAGAGCACCCGCCAACCACCCACATTTTCACTTGTCATTTCTTAAATTTTAGCTAAATACTGCGAATGAAAAGTACCCTCTGGAACGTAAAAGATTTTTTGTTTTCAATAAATTAGAACTGAGAGCTAAAAACTTAAATTTCAATTACGAGAAAACAGTTCATGATCAGGATTAGGCCTGTATTAGATTAAGAGACGTGACGGAGCTTATGGTAAAATTTTGATAGGTCAAACTTATGAAGAGTAATGGAAATAAGCCATTAATAACATCCCTAAGGGTACAAATTGCCTAGCTTCAATTCGCAACATCTTCTGGGACCGAGTCTAGTTATAAAAAATGTCCAAACATGTGACATGTCGTCCTAAAACATTCTTCAAACTGAAAACATTTCATCAGCAAAAAAAGTTCAACATATGAAAAACAAACACTGATCTTCTTAGTTTAGTTTTAGTTGAGGTTTTACGGTGCTCGCAACTGCATAAGGTCATATGAACGCCAGACGATTAGAGGTGTTTCAAGGGAGTAACAAACATAAAAAAGAAGAAGGGGAGATAAAGACGATAGATGTTTGACAGGAAAGAAGAAGCAAACCACACCAGAGCCCCGCCAACCACCCACACCCATCTTCAGTTAAGCCGTAAACGATATGTGATATCGAAGTTCTTCACACTTTTTCTATGAATACCAGTACGTTTTACTTCTTCATAAAAAAAAACCCATGTTTAGAAAACAAAAGTCAGTAACTCCATCCCTTTCAAACAACACTCACAGTTTGTTTAGTTTTAGTAAGAGTTTTACGGTACTTGCAACACAATAAGGTCATATAAGTGCCAAGGATTAGAGGTGTTACAAGAGAGTAACAAATACAAAATAGAAGGAGGGGAGAAAAGGACGATATATGTTTGATAGGAAAGAAGTAGCAAACCACACGAGAGCACCGGCCAACCACCCACCTTACAGCTTGGACCATAACACTTTCAAACAACATTCACAGCTTGGACCATAAATTCCTGTATGTGGTTGAATGGTGCATCTGATGTGATATGTACATTTTGTCAGCTTTACTTCTCTTTTCATATTGAATTTTAATGAGAGTGATATACTTTATATTTTTTATGCATACCTGCATGAGTTTTTACGGTCCTGTACAGCCAAGAAAAATTTCCCCCGGGATAATAAAGTATTATCTTATCTTATCTTTCAAACAATACTTACAGCTTGGTCTTCCTCTGTTCACATTTCGGCTCAAAGCACTGGTCCAGCTCCACCTGGAAAATGGTCTCTGATATAGCCAGCTTTTCCCTCTCTGGGTCATGGGGACAACTTGGGTTCCTGGAAAGTAAAACGATCGAATGAAAACTTGGACTTTGAGTTTGAGTAAAGAGAAGACGCACATCAATACCATAATTATCACTTATAACGGCAAGGAAAAAAACTGGCAAGGAAAAAAAAGAATGGGGGGGGGGGGAGGACCTACCAGTGGTATATTCCAATCACCCACAATCAAATGGAAGACAGTCATACGACATACTGCAAATATGACAATGAGATCAAGAAGAAGAAGAAGAAGAGACCTAAGGCAACAGATGTGAACACAAACTTTTAGATGACAATTTGTGAACACAAAGTCTTACTTCACACAGTCTTGCTTCACAAAGTCTTATTTTACATGACAGATATGTGATCGCACAGTCTCACTTTTACTTCACTTCACATGACAGATATGTGATGACACAGTCTCACTTCATCTAGGGTTACAGACAAGCAACAAAGTTTCCCCTCACTTTAGTTTTTAGCTTTAGTAAGAGTTTTACGGCACTTGCAAACATTAAGGTCATATAAGTGCCGAAGATTAGGTGTTTAAAGAGATTAACAAGCATAAAAAGAAGGAGGAGAGTTTGGTTGTTGTTGTTTTTTTATAGTAGAGGGTTTTACAGCGCTCGCAACTGCATAAGGTCATATGAGCGCCAAGGGGTGGGTGTCAACAGAGAAGTCTTTACATGGAATCAGGCTTAGACTGCTCACCTCTCTAGCTTCGACAGCACAAGGTCTGCTTCGACTATCAAGGCACCCCAAAAATAGCAGGTCACAAGAGAGTGACATAAATACAAAAGAAGTAGAGGAAAATGACAATAGTAAGGATCAGGAAAGAAAAAGCAGCAGTTCCCTGTTGTAGATCAGGCACAGTTATGAGCGTGACATGAGTCAGCCCATTTACAATTCTACTATGCTCGAACGAGAAATGTCCCCTCTTTGGGAACGCCCTAAAGACACTTCAGTCAGTGGCACTGCCCCGGGGAGTAAGGGGAAGAAATAAGGACAATAGATGTTTCATAGGAAAGAAGGAGCAAACCACACCAGCGCACCCATCAACCGCCCACACTTTACATTTACATGACAGATATGTGATGACACAGTCTCACTTCATCTAGGGTTACAGACAAGCAGCAAAGTTATTCCCTCACTTTCAAGTGACAGAACGGTCAACAAAGACTTACTTGTCATCACTGTCCAGGAGCTGACCAGAACAGAAGTCCATCTCCAGCGGACACTCACAGGGACACTCGCACTCCGTCTGCTCCATGCGCTTACAGTTGAGACACAGCCGGTCGTACTGGGGGAAACACAACACACGCTACTGTAGCAGAAGCACACACAAACCTAGGGTTTTCATCTTTACACCATATCTCTTTTAACTCATTCAGTGCTACAGACGAGAATACTCGCGAAACCTGGGTCCCGCCCACATACTAGTGACGAGTATTCTCGCATTCTGCCTCGCTATCTTTATAGAAAGAATTACTCAGTCTAATCCATACCAAGTTATTTTACTAATCATGTTCCATTATGGGAAAGGTCAAGGAGACATTTTTTCAGCTCGAACAGCCATTGAGCCTGCTAGATTTGATTGATTTTCCTGGGTATCCTAATTTCATGTTGCCTTAACAAAACTGCCCAGTATATGAAGGGAGTTCACTGCTGGAGTGCTCAGCATTGAATGAGTTAAGAATACACATTTCCCTTTTATAAAGACAGTTTCAGACAGGTTACAAATGCATACCGGCGGACCATAACACTAAACAAAAAAATCAGAGATCAATAAAAACACTGGAAATTTTTTCTTCAATCAGACCATAGAATACTTTGCTTTAATATTAAAAGACACATATCCAACTGCAATAGAAAGAAAACAGCTCTCAAAATCATAATGTATCTGCAATGAAATGAGTTATGCAACTCATCTCGCATTATAAAACACAATGCTCAAACTACACCACGAGGTATGCCAAGTATTCTATGGCAAGTCATGTTTTTCAAATTTTACCGGAGAGACCAAAAAAACAGGAACCCAATTTTTGTCTCTCCTGTCAAAATTTTAAAACATGACTTACCATAGTTTACTTGGTGGCCCTCGACAGATGTTTAAATGAAGGGTTTTTATTTCATCCTGAGTGACTTACCATGCTGCAGGGGCAGAAAGCAGTGGCTGTCTCACAGCTGTTGTTCACCAGGCCAAGGAAAGCGTTAGTGCCCGTGATGTGGGTGATCTGAGAAACACGAGAAGGGGGGGGGGGGGGGGTGGAAGAAATAGGGATTTAATTAAAGACTTGTATACATAAAACGAGGGTGCGGTGGTGGAGCGGTTGGGGCGTTCGTCTCCGAAGCCGAAAGTCCATGATCAAGCCTCGGTTCGGACACAAGATTTTTTTTGGTCTCCTCCCGCCCACCTAACAGTAATGGGTACCTGAATTCAAGTTGGGGAAGTAAAGTCGGGGTGGAAAGGAACTGGCCACCCTACCACAATATGCCGAAGGTCCAGGAAGTTGTCTCACTAACATGGCAATCCCCAATGTCCGATCAGATGCTGGAACAACTTTACTTTTAACGTAAAACGTTCAAACCTCTGGCGGAGAATCCAAAAGACTTCCCACCAGTGTGGAAAATAAAGCACTCTGTTGAATGCTCTTTATTAAGTCTGTAGGCCTGAAGACCACACCATGCAGTCTGGAAACCAATATGGCATTCTTAATTTACAATAATTCCAAATATTATCTCCATCCCACATTAGGGTATTCAAAACTAAAATTGACATAATTTTAAAAACTGCTTTTAAACAGCCACCAGAAGAGAAAAATAACATGGATTGTACAGTAAGTTTACATTTTCTACACAATCCTTTTTTGGCAAGTAAAGAACGGAACAGAAATAAAATCACATACCTGATATCTTGCACATTGCTCCCCATGGACCAGATTAGTCAAGGTTCCCGTGAAGCTGGTATTGAACTAGGTGAAAGAAGGAAAAAGAGGACAATTAGTATTTCAAATACAGAAAATGGTGTACGATCCATGTCTGTTTTATGAACAAGTTTTCATGGCACCAAAAAAAAAAAAAGTTGACTTGACATTTTTCTTCTCCTTCCTTCATAAGCTGCTAATTAAAAAATGAGTACTGGCAAACTACAGAGAAGCATAAAAAAAAATTTAAAAAGCAAAAAAAACAAAAAAACTTCTGCTCCAAATACCACAAAAGAGGCAGCTTCAAGGTTTCTTTAAGAGGCAGAAAAATAATTCATAGATACACAAATCATATGAGGACATAAGAGAAATCCTGTTTTATTAAGTGTTTTACGGCACTTTCAACACAATACGGTCATATCAGTGCCGAAGATTAGAGTTGTTACAAGAGAGAAACAAACACAAAGGAGAGGGAAGAGGGGGGGGAGAGAAAAAGACGATAGATACTTGACAGGAAAGACGGAGCAACAAACCACACCAGAGCACCCGCCAACCACCCTAGAAATGCTATATAACCACGGGGCTCATCAAGTACTCACCGTGAAGTATCGCTGCACCGTGCGATCGTTGTATCTGTTGCACAATTTCTTCTGCACAAAGCCCTTGTGGTTGAGGATGTCGTTGGCTACAAGAGGCTCCTGTGGAAGACACAAAAGACCATGGAATGTTTTAGTAAGTGTTTTACGGCACTTGCAACACAATAAGGTCATATAAGTGCCGAAGATTAGAGGTGTTACAAGAGAGTATAACAAACACAAAAAAGAAGGAGGGGAGATAAAGACGATAGATGTTTGATAGGAAAGAAGGAGGAAACCACACCAGAACATCCGCGAACCACCCAGACCACGTAAAGAAATGTATCACAATCCATGAACGAAAAAACAAAATGCACTTCAGAAGAAAAAAAAAAAAAAAAAAAAAGGTGCATGGTAAAAACTTTAGAACAAAATAAATACAAAAAACTACATACATCCCCATTGACTTTTTAAGAGTAAATTTTAGTTTAGTTATAGTTAGAATTTTACTGCACTTGCAACACAATTAGGCCAGACAAGTGCCGAAGATTACAGCTGTCACTAGAGAGTAACATACAAATAAAAGTATGAGGAGAGAAAATGACGATCTTTCCTATCAAACATCTATCGTCCTTATCTCCCCTTCGTCTTTTTTATGTTTGTTACTCTCTTGTAACACCTCTAATCTTCATATGACCTTATGCAGTCGCGAGGGCCATAAAACCTCTACTAAAACTAAAAAACTATTTAAAAAAACCATGAATATCATACCATGTGAGTGATGTGTCTCTGCTCGGCCGGTCCTTTCCCCGTGGGGTCAATAAGTCCGGGGTGAGCGATAAGGTAGCCTTTGTCATCCATCAGGAAACATCTGCAACACGGCAAGAAAACATATTTGTTAGAATGTAGTCCACTACAACTGTTCTGCGTGGATCTTTGAAAGCAGTCATGTTGATACATCCCAAGATAATTTGGGGGAGGGGGAATGACGAATTAAATGAATAATAAAAGTAATAATAATAATAATATTTTTAAAATGTTAATTTTCAATGATAAATTATATTCCCTACCCTACCACAATATGCCAAAGGTCCAGGAAGTTGTCTCACTAACAAGGCAATCCCCAATGTCCGGATCGGATGCGGGAGCAACTTTACTCATCAGCAAGTCATATCACTGTCAAGAAACAAAGCTTCCTTCTCCTTCTCATACTCTTACTGGAACTCAGGGAGCTACAGAACGGTAAGATCATCACCTCACAGTGTCGCTGATATTTTACGAGCACGGCCGTTTTACCTACACAGACCATAGAATCACCCCTTGTGCCTCTTTGGAAGACACTCTTAACATTTTCATGACAAACTAAAGTGGCTTCAGTTCTGTGGGTAAGAATTTGATTTTCTTTCCAGCTTACCTGACACCTTTACTTTCACAGGGCTTGATACTTGTGGCCAGCAGTTTGTGGAAGTAGCCGAGGGTGATATCCATTCCCATCACAGCCACCACTTTGTCCAGGGGACTGTGCATTGCTGCCGGCCTGTAGAGAACAGAAGCGTTGTCTTAGCAAACTTGGCCATTTCACTTAACAAATCATGGAACTTTACATCCTTTTGCCACCACAAGGTGATCCATGTGTGTGGTTTAGTTTTAGAAAGAGTTTTGTGGCAGTTGCAACCCAATAAAGTCATTTAAGTGCCGCAAATTAGAGGTGTCACAAGAGAGTAACAAACACAAAATAGAAGGAGGGGAGAAAAGGAAGATAGATGTTAGATAAGGAAGAAGGAGCAAACCACACCAGAGCACCCGCCAACCACACCCACCCATGTGTGTAAAAATATATCTTATAGAACACGTCTAGCAAAGAAACTTTTTACTTATTACTTATTCTTTAAAGAAAAGAAACCAAACTTATTTTATTACCGAATAAAAAGTTCATCATGATTAGAAATTCTCCTAGAGACCTTCAGCCTTTAAAAATCCATACTAGGTTCACAACTCGCATTATAATTACAGTCCACAACCCATTGCAAGAGCTCCAAGTAACCAAAATACACCAGAGAAAATCTCAACTTACCGGCCCTCAAAGATTGTGTGACTGATGGTGACGATGTATCCAGCCCCGCCCACATCAAGGTACGGTGCAGACAGCGTGACGTGGCCGGGGTATTCCAGAGCTCTTGTGTACCTGAGAAGAAAAAGGTAATGACAAATGGTCGCTTTTAAGCACAAGTGGGCTATCCCGAAAAATGCTGTTTTGAAAAAATCGAAGGTAAAGTTTTTGCCCCTTGATCAGTTTCGTTAAAAGACAAGGAGAGTTGTCTCTATAACCAAACAAATATACACACCAATGAAACCAACCTTCTCCTACAGGTAGGGCAATGCCTATTTTTTGTGTATGTCAAGATTTCTGGAAACCCTCGAAATCTGGGTTAGCCCGCTTGTCCGTAAAAAAGGAGTAAACCACACCAGAGCACCCACCAAACACCCACACCAACACTCTAAAAGCAGGATCCCTCTACAAGCTGTGCCTGGCACTTTCACATACCAATCAGCGCAAAACCTACAATCGTCTAAAATAATCAGAGATGCAATTCCACAAGTAACAACTCTTACCATTCTCTTTTTGTCGGATCAAACATTTTGTCCAAGAGAGTGCCGGGGAAAGTCCGCAACACGCCACTGGGAGTGCTCACATATCTGTCAGGGGGAGATAAAAACAGACGTATGTAGTTTTGCTATTAACTTCAACACAATAGTTTTTATTTCACATGAAATCTAATTTAAAAAATCTCTCTCTCTCTCTCTCCCCCTCTCCCTCTCTCACACACACACACACACACCCTCACACACACACACACCAAACACACACACACACACACACACACACACTTCCAAACCACAACAATGTAATTCTAACCCCTCCTCATAATATTTGATGACAGCCTCAAGCCCTTTACTTCTATGTAAGACAATGCATTTTTTTTTTAAACCTCAAATCTCATTTATGATACAAATCGTCACTTGTATAATAAAATTAGACTCATAACATAAACATGGCATATTCTACGACTCCACAAACAGCAAATGGTACTGACCTGCGGACGATATAGTCATTCAGGTCACTCGCTTGAAACCTACGCTGCCACTCATCATTGATGCGACTGGTAGCGGCAACATCGTTGCGGACCGCAGACTGTGGAAACATTTTTTAAACATATATCAAATTCATAGAAAAATTATGGGTATTCTTATTTTTTAACTTTATAGGATTGAAACCAAGAGAGGCAAGGTAATGGCAAATTTATCGACTATTGGTCAGAAGAAAAGAGAAACACATCTAACACTATGAACTTCATTTTAGTTAGTTATAGTAAGTGTTTTACGGCACTTGAAACACAATAAGGTCATATAAGTGCGGAAGATTAAAGGTGTTACAAGAGAGTAACAAACACAAAAAAGAAGCGAGTAGAGATCACGACAATAGACGCTCGATAAGAAAGAGGAAGCAAACCACACCAGAGCACCCGCCAACCACCCACACCACCATTTTTACAAGGACACCTCCAACATGAAGTGAAAGTACTTTGACAACAACGGAGAGAATCTTTACCTTCAGCCCCGGATTAGTGATGAGGCGAGTGTCGTCTTTCAAGTAGGCGATGTAACTCTGTACTGTACGCTTCGTCTCCTGCTGACTGATGTGCTCAAACGGGTTGATGAAACTGTTCGCCGACAGGAACACTGTGCTCAGATCTGAGGATGACACATAGACATGCGTGATGAGCTTGTTTTAGTTATAGTAAGTGTGCTTTACAGCACTTGCAACACAATGAGGTCATATAAGTGACAAAGACTAAACGTGTTACAAGGGAGTAACAAACACAAAAAAGAAGGGAGGGATAAAGAAAATAGATGTTTGATAGGAAAGAAGAAGCAAACCACACCAGAGCACCTGCCAACCACCCACACGATGAGCTTCAGGAGTTGATGCAAAGTAATTGATCACAAGTGTGAGAGGACCAGAAATACATCGGAAAGTCCAGGAATTTCAGAACACAGAAACACGGTAAGAACTAATACTGGTGTCCTACAGTACACAGCAGAAATAGACCAAAATGTCACTTTTAATGCAGAGGACAACATCACTTCTGAAACACATTTATCCTTTTTTTTTCGCCCCCAGCACCGATTCCTGAGGAATGCAAACAAGACCTAGCAAGACTTTCAAAACTTACAGCAATGCATGAAAGCACAAATGCTGACAGTTAAACCATACAAACAAAGACATGCAAAAAGTAAAAACCTAAAGAATAACACAAGAAAATATAGAACATCCTTAAACTTAAACTACGCCTAGTACGTTTGAATTGAAACTGGTGGTAAACCTTTTTTTAAAAATTACACTTATTTATTTGTCGTCCGTACTAATGCACGAACAAAAGCATCAAACGTTAAAAAAAGAGGGAAAACTATTTTCATTATGAAAGCATACTCATCACATGAGTTTTCTGCACGAGAGCCTGTTGTGTTAAGCGCATAGAGCTTGCTGTTGAGCGGGGATTTGCGCTATGCAAATGCTATCTATTATTATTATTGTTGTTATTATTATTATTATTATTACCTGGAGTAGACAGCTGTTTGAGGTGATAGCACATGTTTTCGTTGGGGAACAGGTCCAGACGATGGTACACCAGGTCCGGCTGGTTGTGCACTGAAAGACAAAAGAACATGGACCAGATTATTCATCTTTATAAAAGCTAATAACATACCATATGTGAGGCAGCGCGGTGGAATCAGGCTCTCATCAATTTTTGGGCATGTAGAGTTATTGCTATCATCTTAAAGCTTGTTCACTTGTCTTTATTTGGAAGAAAAAATATCCAGTTATCTTGAATACAAGTCGAGATATTTGCAAATGAAGGGGGTGAGGGGTCACCTGTTTTCAGAGGTAAAATTAGTGAGAAAATGGCCGCCAAAGATGAATTATTTCCTTTGCTTAAGAGTCAGTGGTAACTGAAAATTCACATTTTTTGTGCCTTTACTCTACGTTTTTCAGAAAAATTCACACAGAAATGAGTTTTTTAATGGGCATGAAAGGTGTTGATTAAAAAAACAAAAATTTTATAAAAATTCATAAACCTGCGGAAAAATGCAAGTTTCTTCACTTTGATTATTTTGACGAGCGCCTGATTCCACCACGCTGCCTCAAATATACACACTACTATCACAATCTCAATTTTAGAACACCATTCACATTGATAAATTCACAAAATACTGTCTTTAAGTTAAAGTTTAGTAAGAGTATTACGGCGCTCACAACTGCATAAGGTCATATTATGAGCGCCAGAAGATTACAGGTGTTACAAGAGAGTAACAAACATAAAAAAGAAGGAGGAGAGATCAGGAAGATAAATGTTTGGTTGGAAAGAAGGAGCAAACCACACCAGAGCACCCGCCAACCACTCACAATATACCGTCTCTGAAATTACATTACAGAGGCGTTATGCCTATACAACTTTGCATTCTATACTCTTCAAAGAAAATCTTATTCTTTTTCATTGAAGTTCACCTCACAAAAATCACAAGCAGGCCCTTTGTCACTCTGCTATGACCACCGTAATCTATAGAAAGAAACCTAACACATTCCTTATGTTGAATTCCAATATATGAAACAACAGCAGTGATGACCATCAATGATTTATTTATAGAGGCACCAGCCATCCATGTCCAGGTGCTGTTTTAGCCTAGACGACAGCAGTGATATACATTAAAACAGCGCATTCTAAGAACCTTAGACAGCATTACTCACTGAGGATATTTTTCAGCTGCTTTTGTTCCCTTTTGTCGTAGTAAGCTTTGATGACCACAATGAAGGGTATGCCTTCCACCTGGGAACAGAATAGAGAGTCACACACACCATAAGTCATCTGCCAAAAAAGTATCCACACCCAACGTTGTAAAACCATTGACGAAGCAGGAAAACAACACACAACTGATAACAAAATCAACATATCAAAAACTTCACAAAAGTAAATAGCTTTCAAAGTAAAAATACAGAATATTTTCAAAATTTAGTTTAGTTTTAGTAGAGGTTTTACAGCGCTCGCAACTGCATAAGGTCATATGAGCGCCAGAAGTTTAGAGGTATAACAATAGAGTAACAAACATAAAAAAGAAGGAGGGGAGACAAGGACGATAGATTTTCAAAATGAAGTCACAATAAAGCAACTACATGAGATCGTACAAAACACACACCAGACTTTCTATGGGTCTCTCTGGTTCTCATGTATTACAAAAACTGGGAGCAACAGCCAAAATAGCCATAACACACACACACACACACTTCCCTGAGGTTAAAAAAAAAAAATTTACACTGCTGGGGATGTTGGGGGTTAACACTTTCAACCCACGCAACCCGGAGGGCACACAACACTTATCCCCATGGCCCAGGATACAGGTGCGGGACACGCTATATCACCGATCGACGTCCCGTGGGGGCAAAGTGTTGACGCATACACTGGACAGCATCAATATCTTTTTAGTTTAGTTTAGTAGGGGTTTTTCGGCGCTCGCATCTGCACAAGGTCGTATGAGCGCCAGAAGATTAGAGCTGTTACAAGAGAGTAACAAATATAAAAAAGATGAAGGGGAGATAAGGACGATAGATGTTTGATAGGAAAGAAGAAGCAAACCACACCAGAGCACACGTCAATATCTTTGCACTCATAGTGCGCACTCACCTTTTTCCACACGTATTTGGCTGTATGCTCCACTTTCATGGGCAGGCCATCAGGCCCCGTCTGGTTACTGACGCGTAGCAACAGATTCATCTCGCCCTCCTTGTCGCTGGAGATAAAACACAGCACAGTTGAAGCATCAACTCAGAGATATTATCTCTTGTTTCTATTATTTTTTTTTTTTAAATCCCTAATTCAGTCTAAGAAAAAGTGATAAATTTTGCAAATTGCACCAAAAACACAACAGCAGTCAAAAAAATATTATGAAATATATTTATATATATAAAAAAGAGTAAGTTCAAAGAGCAACTAATTTTGCTTGCAGTAGAGATGACAAGCTGATTTCTGTAATAATGCCATCCTAGGACAAAAACGACAACTTCCACTAAGCAAGGCTCCAAAATAAATACTTTGCTTCCAACTCACTCTTCTTCTCTTCTTTTCTTTTTAATTTCCAGACATAAGTTTTGAACCTGCACACAACAAATATCCTTCTAATCATTCTACGCAATCTCTCAATCAGTTGCACTCCAATATTATTATCTCTCTTTCTACTACCAACTTGTTTCCCTCTGCCAATGATCAATTACAATCATCAAATGAAGTTAGTGAAAACTATTACTAAAAATAATACCATGGTAAAAATTCATAAGACCCTCTCAAAAAGACTCGAAAGATCTTCCATACCTCAAAATGGCCGAGCGCACCGTGTGAAAACCAGCATGCTGCTCAAAGTGGCGGATGTCGGTGTGCATCGGCTGAATATTTGTTCGCAGAGGACGTTGAAATGACGGGTGCATGATGGTGAAACCTGTAAAGAGAGGTGGATAGTAGAACAATGTAATGGCCCGGTTACACGTTACAATAAATTATGTTCACAAATAAATCTAAGTCATGCTGAGAGAACATAAATCTATTGAAACAAATGAAATGCGTTTATTCTGCCAAGTGTAACATCCTCAGGCAGGCATGCGAAGAACCGAACTAAAAATACAAATCACAAATATAAACAGTATTGCAAAACAGAATGCACAAGGTAAGAACGATAATCACTACACATCCGTTAGTGATGTGTAGTCAGAATTATTTATAGCTCTCAGCTGACTACAATCAAGATTCATCGTAGGCGGGAACTGTTCGTTTTATCTAGCTATGTAGTCTGTTTAGAAGTTCCAATCTATCATCCATTCTTCTTTCGAACAGGGATATTCCTAGTCATTGACTTGACTGCAGATGTGCAACACAGCGGGTGACCTTGATACACAACTTCACCATCAACTAAACAATAAAATTGCTAAAATATACATCATAACGCATCAAATCAGGTTCTCTGCGAGCAACTTTGCTATTTTGAGACATTGATTCCGAATTTGAAACCACTTTTTACTTGCGATAACTATTTTTTTATTTTGAGCTCCAAGTTTAATCCTGCGCAGCGGCAAATTTCATTCAAAGTGAATCTGCGTGCTTACCCTGCGGGGTGACGATGAAGGCGTAGGAGCTGTCGGCGTAGCTGTAGTAGGTGATATCCTGGGCCACGTCCTCCATGTGCAGGTCCATGCCCACCAGGCCAATCAGGTGCTGCAGGTCCGGCTGGTCCGGGAGGGTGTGGATGCACGTCTGGCTCAGGCTCATGGTCAGGGCTGGGAACAGAAAATTGTTGGGTTTGTTTGTTTTAGTAGAGGTTTTACGGCGCTCGCAACTGCATAAGGTCATATGAGCGCCAAGAAACCGCAAAGACGGGAGAAATTTTTATTTTGTTTTTGTAAAGTGTTTTACGGCGCTCGCAACTGCATAGGTCATATGAGCGCGCGGGACACAACTAATATTTTCAGTTGGTAGGAAATTTTGAATTTTTCCCGGGTGGCGGCCGAAGCCTACTCTTATCGATTTTAGACCTCCAAGGGATCTTTAACGTGCACAACTTGCACACGGGCCCTCCGAGATTTTTCGCCCTTGTCCGAGAAGGCTAGGTGTAGATCTTTCCTACCAGAAGATCAGGGGTGTGGCAGAAAGACAGCAGTAAGGAGGAGCCAAGGAGTAGCAGTAGAAAGGCTGCAGAAAGAGTCAGGAGCCCAGAGGAGGGGGCAAAGGAGGTGAGGGGGTGGGGGCAGAAAGTGGAAATGAAAGCAGACAACAGAACATTGTTAGAGAGCAGGAAAGGAGGTGAAAGGAGACAATTTTAGAGAAGAAAATTTGTTGATCGCTACCCGGAATCGAACCCGGGACCTTTGAATGAGAGGCCAACACCATAACCTCTAGGCCACGAGAGCCCCCAGAAATTTTTCGAGCAGGTGCAGCAGCAGAGGGGTAATCTCACAATGGCAGGTAAGCTTTAAAAAAAAAAAAAAACACCAAAAAACTATGACTGTTTGCTAAAACAAAATACTAGGTTATTTTTTTCATAAGAGTTTTACAGCACTTGCAACACATTAAGGTCATATAAGTGCAGAAGATTAGGTCTTGTTACAAGGGAGTAACAAACACAAAAAAGAAGGAGGGGAGATAAAGGCCATAGATGTTTGATAGGAAAAAAGGAGGAAACCCCACCAGAGCACCCACCAACCACCCACAAATACTAGGTTAAAAAGATGAACTATTTCGTAGCAGAAGCTTCCTCGTCCCTGATTCCGAGAATGTAGAATAAATATCCTTAACTTTTACTGAATACAAATCACAAACAGAAGACCTTGGGACCAGTAAGGAAAAAAAAAAGAAATAACAAACAACTCTCAAGCTCATCGTACTCGCTGTCGTAAAAATAATCAACATATTATGAACTACAAATTTTGTTAAACAAAATTATGTAATGTATTACAACGCAGTGTTTGCTTTTCGACAAAAGAATCTTTACTATTCAGGAAACAGCCCCTTTCTCCATATAATCAGCGTTCAGAATAGCTTTTCCAAAACGAGTACATCCCCCTAAACAAAAAAGTACTCATTCGTCACAAAATCTCCAAAAATTAATCAGTTCTTTCCCTTACCGCCATCAGCCTCGTCGATGTATGGCAAGGAAAAGACAGGATCGTCTTTGGCGGTGCGGTTCAAGGGGAGGTAAAATCTCCCAACACTGGAGCTCAAGTCCCGAGTTGAGTTGATGGCCATCATTATGCCTCTCTGTGGGAGGACGAAAAATAAAAAAGGGAATCAAAAGAGTTAAGTCTGGATCAAACAAAAGCATGGCATAACTTTCCGAGTAACTTCATTGTTTGTTTTTTTAGCTTTAGTATGAGTTTTACAGCCCTTGCAACACATTAAGGTCTTATAAGTGCCGAAGATTAGAGGTGTTACAAGAGAGTAACATACACAAAACAGAAGGAGGAGAGATAAAGACGACAGATGTTTGATGGGAAGGAAGGAGCAAACCACACCAGAGCACCCACCAACCACCCAATGAAAGAGTATATTTAAAGATGAAAGATCAAAGGCACCAAAGACATGCAATGAGCTCAGAAGTCTCACCAATAACAAATCATAAAAGGAGAACATTTTTCAGTGCCCTTAGCTTCTGCCAAGTGTCGGGCAATGCTACTCACTACACATAACAATGTTCCAGAATCTCTCTACAAGCTTTGTCTTTATGTATATCTTTTTTTTTAAACTAGTAACAAACATTTACTAATAAATAATTTGTGAGGAATTCTGACAAAATTATTTACTTCTCGCAATCCACAAATGGAAATATTGGCTAAAAATCGACATTAGGGTTAAACTTGTAGATTTTCAACTGATGCCATATTCTTTGACTACAACCTGTCTTTTATTATTTCATACTTATAAACTGTAGAAACCTCACCTATAAGCGTGATTTATCTATTTCCTTAAGGCTTGAATCTGAGGAGTAACTCACTTCACATTTGGTGACGGGGCGGACATTAGTAAAAGAAACACAGAAAAGAACTGGACACAGCTACAAAGCACTTACAATGACAGGAGTCTTCAGCCTGTACTGCACATCGTATTTGGCAAAGTTCTGATAAGCCACATCCTTCAGGAAACTTTTCTCATACATGATTGTCTTGCCATCTGCAAAGAGAGAGGTTTTTACTGTTTGCATCTCTTTGTTTGTATGGTTTGAAAAAAAACCTGAAAATGAGCGGAGCATCACATCTCACCTAAACTGAACCTTGTAAAACTTTTACATGAGCAAACAAAAACATAATCTCTCTTACCTCTCCCGTAGAAAAAAAAAAGGAAAAAAACCCGGAAAAAACGGACATTTGGCATTCTTTGTGAACCCACAACCCACACACGGAGTACCAGGACAAGTCGCTACCTCAGAGTTCTAAAGTTCTATCTGGTATTTTTGCCGTTTTGAGTTGCTAAGACCATGTACTGAGACCATGAGATCAGAAATCAAATGTTCTATCAGCTAAGACCATGTACTAGGACCATGAGATCAGAAATCTAATGTTTTATCTGCTAAGACCATGTACTAAGACCATGAGATCAGAAATCAAATGTTCTATCTGCTAAGACCATGTACTAAGACCATGAGATCAGAAATCAAATGTTCTATCTGCTAAGATCATGTACTAAGACCATGAGATCACAAATCAAATGCTGTATCTGCTCTATCAAAATCGTAAGATTATTCCGAGTCGTTGTCACTAAGAAAAAATATCTCACCATCAATGACAGCGTACGTGTTGATGATGACCTTGTGTCCAGTCTTGGCGTTGTGCACGGCGACCACGTCCATCACTTCCCGGGCCTCCGTCAGCGAGGACAACAGCCCCCTGCTCACGTACAGGATCATGGCATTGCCTGGAAAATAAAAGCGACACAAATACAAGCCTTGAACGAGTTTCCCTTTTCAGATTTTAACACTTTGCCCCCACAGGACGCCAATCGGCAACAGTGTGATATAGAATGTACCGCATCTGTATCCTGGTCCGTGGGGAGAAGTGTTGCTCTGTGCGCAGCGTGGGTGGATAGTGTTAATGTCTTTCACTGTCCGGCAAGCCATTATCTGAAACTTTCTCAAAATATATCCAAGGCCAGACCATCAGATCACAAGACAGTCACTGCAGTGGAACCCACAAGGAGCACGAGGCAGGGGTAGGCCACGGGAAACATGGAGGAGATGCGTGGACAGGGACATGAGAG